GAGAGGTGGTGACGCTGTCGGAGGGGATGGGGGGCCTTCATCTAGCAGTGGATAGACCACGGCTGATAATGGTATGATGGTGATGATTGATAGCCAAAGTCGGCCAGCAGATGGAATTTTAATATCAACACTGGGAAGACAAAGGCGGCTGGGTGTGGTGCTAGTCACACAACTTCCTTTGGTGTTGCGTTGGCAAGCACAACAAAGATCCCCCATATATCCTTGAACAGCCTTGGGGCAAGTGCTGTCAGCGAGCCCACATGCACATGTAGGCGTGAGCAAGATGGACGCCTGAGGCGCACATGCTCCCGGGCCGCTGCCGGGCCGCGCTCCCAGCAGCGGCTGGCGGGGGCCGCTTGTGAGGGGGCCGACGGAGCCAGGGGGGGGATGACGGAGCCAGGGGGGGGCCGACGGAGCCGGGGGGGGCGACGGAGCCGGGAGGGGGGGGGGCCTTCGGAGCTGGGGGGGGGGGGGCCGACGGAGCCGGGGGGGGGGGGGCCGACGGACCCGGGGGGATGCCGACACTGACTCACTCACACATCATACACTGACTAACTCACACATCATACACTGACTCACTCACACATCATACACTGACTCACTCACACATCATACACTGACTCACTCACACATCATACACTGACTCACTCACACATCATACACTGACTCACTCACACATCATACACTGACTCACTCACACATCATACACTGACTCACTCACACATCATACACTGACTCACTCACACATCATACACTGACTCACTCACACATCATACACTGACTAACTCACACATCATACACTGACTCACTCACACATCATACACTTACTCACTCACACATCATACACTGACTAACTCACACATCATACACTGACTCACTCACACATCATACACTGACTAACTCACACATCATACACTGACTCACTCACACATCATACACTGACTCACTCACACATCATACACTGACTCACACCATACACTGACTTTCTCACACATCATACACTGACTCACACCATGCACTGACTCACTCACACATCATACACTGACTCACTCACACATCATACACTGACTTTCTTACACATCATACACTGACTCACTCATACATCATACACTGACTCACACATCATACACTGACTCACACACACATCATACACTGACTCACACCATACACTGACTTTCTCACACATCATACACTGACTCACACCATGCACTGACTCACTCACACATCATACACTGACTCACTCACACATCATACACTGACTTTCTTACACATCATACACTGACTCACTCATACATCATACACTGACTCACACATCATACACTGACTCACACATCATACACTGACTCACTCACACATCATACACTGACTCACTCACACATCATACACTGACTCACTCACACATCATACACTGACTCACTCACACATCATGCACTGACTCACTCACACATCATACACTGACTCACTCACACATCATACACTGACTCACTCACACATCATACACTGACTCACTCACACATCATGCACTGACTCACTCACACATCATACACTGACTCACTCACACATCATACACTGACTCACTCACACATCATACACTGACTAACTCATCATACACTGACTCACTCACACATCATACACTGACTCACTCACACTATGCACTGACTCACTCACACATCATACACTGACTCACTCACACATCATACACTGACTCACTCACACATCATACACTGACTAACTCATCATACACTGACTCACTCACACATCATACACTGACTCACTCACACCATGCACTGACTCACTCACACATCTTACACTGACTCACTCACACATCATGCACTGACTCACTCACACATCATACACTGACTCACTCACACATCATACACTGACTCACTCACACATCATACACTGACTCACTCACACATCATACACTGACTCACTCACACATCATACACTGACTCACTCACACATCATACACTGACTCACTCACACATCATACACTGACTCACTCACACATCATACACTGACTTTCTCACACATCATACACTGACTCACTCACACATCATACACTGACTCACTCACACATCATACACTGACTCACTCACACATCATACACTGACTTTCTCACACATCATACACTGACTCACTCATACATCATACACTGACTCACACATCATACACTGACTCACTCACACATCATACACTGACTCACTCACACATCATACACTGACTCACTCACACATCATACACTGACTCACACATCATACACTGACTCACTCACACATCATACACTGACTCACTCACACATCATACACTGACTCACTCACACATCATACACTGACTCACTCACACATCATACACTGACTCACTCACACATCATACACTGACTTTCTCACACATCATACACTGACTCACTCACACATCATACACTGACTCACTCACACATCATACACTGACTCACTCACACATCATACACTGACTCACTCACACATCATACACTGACTCACTCACACATCATACACTGACTCACTCACACATCATACACTGACTTTCTCACACATCATACACTGACTCACTCACACATCATACACTGACTCACTCACACATCATACACTGACTCACTCACACATCATACACTGACTTTCTCACACATCATACACTGACTCACTCATACATCATACACTGACTCACACATCATACACTGACTCACTCACACATCATACACTGACTCACTCACACATCATACACTGACTCACTCACACATCATACACTGACTCACACATCATACACTGACTCACTCACACATCATACACTGACTCACTCACACATCATACACTGACTCACTCACACATCATACACTGACTCACTCACACATCATACACTGACTCACTCACACATCATACACTGACTTTCTCACACATCATACACTGACTCACTCACACATCATACACTGACTCACTCACACATCATACACTGACTCACTCACACATCATACACTGACTTTCTCACACATCATACACTGACTCGCTCATACATCATACACTGACTCACACATCATACACTGACTCACTCACACATCATACACTGACTCACTCACACATCATACACTGACTCACTCACACATCATACACTGACTCACTCACACATCATACACTGACTCACTCACACATCATACACTGACTCACTCACACATCATACACTGACTCACTCACACATCATACACTGACTCACTCACACATCATACACTGACTCACACCATACACTGACTTTCTCACACATCATACACTGACTCACACCATGCACTGACTCACTCACACATCCTACACTGACTCACTCACACCATGCACTGACTCACACCATGCACTGACTCACACATCTTACACTGACTCACTCACATATCATACACTGACTCACTCACACATCATACACTGACTCACTCACACATCATACACTGACTCACTCACACATCATACACTGACTCACTCACACATCATACACTGACTCACTCACACATCATACACTGACTTTCTCACACATCATACACTGACTCACTTACACCATGCACTGACTCACTCACACATCATGCACTGATTCGCTCATCATGCGCTTACTCACTCACACATACACTCGCACAACCACTGACCCATTCACTCATCATACACAGGTTCACTCATCGTGTGCTGGCTCACTCACGCTGCTGCTGACTCACTCACACATCATACACTGACTCACACATCATACACTCACTCACACATCATACACTCACTCACGCTGCTGCTGACTCACACATCATACACTGGGAGTGTCGTGTTGCCAGCTATGGCTGTAGGTTTTGTCGTACATGTTATGTATATCGTTTATTGTTAAATTTAAAATCACAGTTCCTATGATTACTGTTGTTACATTGTTTTTATAGCTTTATTTTGGTGATTCGAAAACATGGTTAATCTAAATTGTCTTATGGTTATTGTTGTTGGCTTGCACCACATTGTGATTTTTGCATACAGCATTTTAATGCGGTTTTTTTTTTGGTGTGGAATATTTGCTGGTTTATTCCAGGATGTTTCTGTTACGCGTCGTCGCTTTGGGATGTTCTGTGTTCAAATATTGTTTGTTGCGGTTGCACCCGACTTAAGAGCCGCATGGCTCACAGGGCTATACCTAATAAATGAAAAACTTGAAGAAAAAAACTTGAAATGTAGAGGCGTTAACTACTCACTGTTCGGTAACCTGCATTGCCACTAGGTATCAAAGGGCCAGTGCAGCGTTACCTCTGTGTACATAACGGTTGGTGTCAGACGAGGTGAAGTGGATCGTAGCCACAGTTTGGTAAGAACCAACCAGACAGTTCCACGTGGGAATGTGGGATTGGTTACACCTGGCCACAAACGGGTATAAGAAGGGTGACCGCGCAGAGCGCGGGGAGTTCTCTCCCTACACGAAAGACCGTAGCCCGGGCTGAAGATAGCCAGGACCCTGGACCCAGCCTTCCAGCCCTTCTGAGGGCTAAGGCTCGGCGTATCCAGTGGTCAAGACCCGCCGGGCCAGCGGTGGGTCAGATAGCCTCTCCTAGGTCCCAGCCGGAGGACTCTAGGATAGCGGTAGACGTGTGAGTAAGTCCCGCCAAGACAGGAGGCTGTACCTCCTTAGGTTAGGAAGAGACCTGTGTGTAGGTCACGCTAAGTCCAGAGGCTGTACCTTCTTAGGGTGTCGGGTGAGGGGACCGTATACCCCTCTGTGTGTTAAGGACTGTGTAAGAGAAGTATTACAATTAACAGAGTGTGCCTCATAAGAAGTTCATTCGTCATTATAAACACTACACACACAAAATACAACAGCAACAAATACAACAGCATCAGCAGCCACTAAGTTGCGGTGACGTCATTGCGGCACTTGTGCCAGGCTAGGTGCACTTTAAGGCAACGTGAAGTGTCGAAGGCTCGCTGCTGGCAAGGAGGTCACACGCACACGCACGCATACACACACACGCACGCACACGCACGCACCTTATAGGCGTTCTCCGTCAGTTTGGCAGCCTCCTCGATTGGAGACATGGTGGTGGTGGTGCTGGTGGTGCTGGTGGTTGTGGTAGTGTAGGTTCGAATCCCGGTGGAGGCGTCGAGCCCAGTATTCTGCCTCTCTCTGCTCCCACCTTCCCTTGGAAGCAGAGGCTACAGTCAGCAGTAGTAAAACAGTGAGCAGCAGCAGCAGCACTCCCAGTACAAGTAGCAGTACATCTACAGGCAGCAGCAGAGGTAGTACACTTACAGGTAGCAGTACAACTATCAGTCGCATTCCACCTACCAGTAGCAGTACACCTACCAATAGCAACACACCTAACATTAGCAGTACACTTGCCAATACACTTACCAGCCGCAGTACACTCAGCAGTACACCTACCAATAGCAGTCCACCTACCAGCCGCAGTACACTCAGCAGTACACCTACCAATAGCAGTCCACCTACCAGTTGCAGTCCACCTACCAGCCTCAGTACACTCAGCAGTCCACCTACCAGCCGCAGTACACTCAGCAGTCCACCTACTAGTAGCAGTCCACCTACCAGCCGCAGTACACTCAGCAGTCCACCTACCAGTAGCAGTCCACCTACCAGCCGCAGTACACTCAGCAGTCCACCTACTAGTAGCAGTCCACCTACTAGTAGCAGTCCACCTACCAGCCGCAGTACACTCAGCAGTCCACCTACCAGTAGCAGTCCACCTACCAGCCGCAGTACACTCAGCAGTCCACCTACTAGTAGCAGTCCACCTACTAGTAGCAGTCCACCTACCAGCCGCAGTACACTCAGCAGTCCACCTACCAGTAGCAGTCCACCTACCAGTAGCAGTCCACCTACCAGCCGCAGTACACTCAGCAGTCCACCTACCAGTAGCAGTCCACCTACCAGTATCAGTCCACCTACCAGCCGCAGTACACTCAGCAGTCCACCTACCAGTAGCAGTCCACCTACCAGCCGCAGTACACTCAGCAGTCAACCTACCAGTAGCAGTCCACCTACCAGTAGCAGTCCACCTACCAGCCGCAGTACACTCAGCAGTCCACCTACCAGTAGCAGTCCACCTACCAGCCGCAGTACACTCAGCAGCAGTACACTCAGCAGTCCACCTACCAGCCGCAGTACACTCAGCGTCGTGCAGGTAGATCACGAGACACGTGCCACAGCGGCAGTCGTCAGAACACTTCACGCAGATGATACTCGCGTCTCGAGCCGGCGAAGTTGAATAATGGTGATGGTTGTCGGAGACTCCGGGATGATCATGACAATGCTAAGATGATGATATGCTAACGACGATTACGGTGTGACGGCGATGATGATCACGATGATGGTGATGATGATTGCGATTGTAAGGTGATGGTTATGGTGGAAATTCCAACATCTATCGTGAAATTACGGTGACGTTGACTCTAGTATTATTCGACGAAAACGATTAAACGATGATTACATTCTTGATTTGAAGCTTTCGTGACTGCAGGAATCTATACTCTTTGGTTCTTTCGGTAAAGTCACGTAGTGGGTACAAAATACATTTTTATTTTATTTATATGCTAACGACGAAAATTTAACTTTATTTTATACCTACGTGACTTCACTGGTGATTACATTCTGAGGATACTGATTATGATGATTACAATAAGGTGATTATGCGATGACTATGAGTCGACGATATTGCAAAGGACAATGCACAACACCTTAAAATACACAATTGTTGAACAGAAAACATGGTATGTACGACGGGAACAGCAATGTAATTACGAAGATGAACATTCCAACACTAATCACGAGATGCTGCTGCTGCTGATGGCGATGATGATGATGTTCTAATACAAAACAAAACGATAAGTAGTTGGTTTGTGATGCGAACTCCATCTGTTATTTAAAAAGAAAAAAAGCTGTCAATCAGCTGTAAACGATATTGTCGATGCTGCCGAAATCGGCATTTGGTGCGCATTCACAATCGACACAACAACAAAAAACGACTCCTAACACATTTCGTCATTCAAACCGCGTGGTCTTAACTTAAGCAAACATAATGGGCGACGTTTCGGGCAATAGCCCTTCTTGGGCAGAGAGCACATCACGAGCGAAACAAACAAACAAAAAATTTAATAGCGTTCTGTTGCTCACCTAACGGACCGAGCCTCACTCCCAGATTCCCTCTTCCATGCGGTCCGCACAGATCGATACTCACCCAACCCTCGCTCGCTCCGCGGAGTGGGAGACGCAGGGAGGGGAGGGGCTGTGGGGGTTGGGAGGGGCTGGGGGGGGGAGAAATGGGGGGGGGAAGGGTGGTGAAGGGTGGAGAGGGGAGGGGTGAGCAAGGGGGTGGAGGTAGGTTCAGGGGGAGGGTGCAGGGCACGATAAGGATTGAGGGGAGGGGAATTGGTGTTAGTGGGTGGAGAGGGGAGGGGTGAGCAGGGGGAGGGGCGGTAAGGGTGGTGGAGGGTGGGGGGGGGCGATAAGGATTCAGGGGAAGGGGTGGAAAGGGGGATTGAGGGGAGGGGTTTGGTGATCTGGGTGTAGCGGGGTGAGAAAGGGGAGGGAGGGGTGAGAGAGATGCAGGGTGCAGAGGGGATGGGCCAGTGGGTCTATGTCTGTGTGTGTGTGGGGGCACAGCTAGCGCATCTGCCAGTGACCTCGGTCAGCCAACCCACGGCACCTTGCTGGGTCTGTCCCCCGTGACGACCTCCTATCAGCGAGCCTTCGGCACTTCGCTTGACCTCAATAGTGCACCTAGCCTGGCACCGGCGCCGTGGTGACGTCACCGCCAATTCGTGGCGAACGGTGGGTGATGTTATTGTTGTTGTGCGACGATACTCTGTGCCTTTCGGTGGTGGGATTCACTAAGTCGCACGTGGTGGAACTCTCATTGTGCGTATCCCACGTCGCAGTGGGATGAACCGGGATAAACGAACAGAGAATGCGAATATTTAATTACACTGTAGGAAGAATCCGATGAGCTATGAAGCTCTTTTTCACAGATGTCCAGTAGGGGCGGGTAAAACCGTTACAAAAACGTGATAGTGCAGAAGAGGCACCGCGGTGGCTAGGGGATGTTAACTACCTCGCCTGGTATGCAGGAGGTCGTGGTTTCGATCTGGACCCTGACGCCTTGTTGTATATTTGGAGTTTGAGTGTCTCTCTCTCTCTCTCCCCGTGACCACGTGGATTTTTTTCTAGGGCCTCCCATTTATTGCGGCCAGGTCGCTTCTGAAAAAGAAACGTCTACTGAATATTGCTCAGTAGGCCTTACCAGGTGGAAAAAAAAAACATTCTGAACGTCTAACAACGTGAGCACCACGAGGAATGAATGGCAGGACGTAGAACAACACCACCAGCAACGTACCACGTGGGGGAGACGAGATTCCTTTGTAAGTTTTGTTGATACAACTCGCTGGCCAGCCTCGGCTGGACATCTGTGTGAGAAAACAAAACCAATCTGCATAGCTCATCGGATTCCTCCAGGATGAATACAGATTCTGAAAGGTCGAAAACTTTATTCAAGTTTTTTGTTGTTAAAAAAAAACATTTTCGGGAGAGACTTCAATCGATGAAAGCAATTAACAGAAAGCAAAATCCACACGCGCGCACGTGCCCTCTCACACGGAACGATCACGCGCGCGCGCGAGAGGGAGAGAGAGAGGGAGCGTGCGAACAAAAAGTGCCGTTCAGTTCAATATTTTATCATCTTTCGTCGGGGAGCGATAACCATCGGACGCCGCCGCCGCGGTTCGATTACGAAGAGTAAAAACCGCTGTGGGTTTCTGTGCGCGATGCACTCCCGGGAGCGGCGGTGGGGGGGGGGGGTACCCGGACATCAGAACGCTCGCAACCCTGGCCAGCGGCACCCATGCAGCAGTGCCGGACGAAGCCAGTGCGGGGCCTGTAGTATCATACGGCGTGGGAAAAAAAAGTATTTGATCCCCTGCTGATTTTTTGTACGTTTGCCCACTGACAAAGAAATGATCAGTCTATAATTTTAATGGGTAGGTTTATTTGAACAGTGAGAGACAGCATAACAACAAAAACATACGGAAAAACGCATGTCAAAAATGTTATAAATTGATTTGCATTTTAATGAGGGAAATAAGTATTTGACCCCTCTGCAAAACATGACTTAGTACTTGGTGGCAAAACCCTTGTTGGCAATCACAGAGGTCAGACGTTTCTTGTAGTTGACCACCAGGTTTGCACACATCTCAGGAGGGATTTTGTCCCACTCCTCTTTGCAGATCTTCTCCAAGTCATTAAGGTTTCGAGGCTGACGTTTGGCAACTCAAACCTTCAGCTCCCTCCACAGATTTTTTTTTATGGGATTAAGGTCTGGAGACTGGCTAGGCCACTCCGGGACCTTAATGTGCTTCTTATTGAGCCACTCCTTTGTTGCCTTGGCCGTGTGTTTTGGGTCATTGTCATACGACCCATTTTCAATGCCCTGGCTGAGGGAAGGAGGTTCTCACCCAAGATTTGACGGTACATGGCCCCGTCCATCGTCCCTTTCATGCGGTGAAGTTGTCCTGTCCCCTTAACAGAAAAACACCCCCAAAGCATAATGTTTCCACCTCAAAGTTTGACAGTGGGGATGGTGTTATTGGGGTCATAGGCAGCATTCCTCCTCCTCCAAACACGGCGAGTTGAGTTGATGCCATAGAGTTCCATTTTGGTCTCATCTGACCACAACACTTTCACCCAGTTGTCCTTTGAATCATTCAGATGTTCACTGGCAAACTTCAGACGGGCATGTATATGTGCTTTCTTGAGCAGGGGGACCTTGCGGGCGCTGCAGGATTTCAGTCCTTCACGGCGTAGTGTTACCAATTGTTTTCTTGGTGACTATGGTCCCAGCTGCCTTGAGATCATTAACAAGATCCTCCCGTGTAGTTATGGGCTGATTTCTCACCGTTCTCATGATCATTGCAACTGCACGAGGTGAGATCTTGCATGGAGCCCCAGGCCGAGGGAGATTGACAGTTCTTTTGTGTTTCTTCCATTTGCGAATAATCGCACCAACTGTTGTCACCTTCTCACCAAGCTGCTTGGCAATAGTCTTGAGCCCATTCCAGCCTTGTGGTCTACAATCTTGTCCCTGACATCCTTGGAGAGCTCTTTGGTCTTGGCCATGGTGGAGAGTTTGGAATCTGATTGAATGCTTCTGTGGACAGGTGTCTTTTATACAGGTAACAAGCTGAGATTAGGAGCACTCCCTTTAAGAGTGTGCTCCTAATCTCAGCTCGTTACCTGTATAAAAGACACCTGGGAGCCAGAAATCTTTCTGATTGAGAGGGGGTCAAATACTTATTTCCCTCATTAAAATGCAAATGAATTTATAACATTATTGACATGCGTTTTTTTGTATTTTTTTGTTGTTATTCTGTCTCTCACTGTTCAAATAAACCTACCCATTAAAATTATAGACTGATCATTTCTTTGTCAGTGGGCAAACGTATAAAATCAGCAGGGGATCAAATACTTTTTTCCCTCACTGTATGTTGTTATAAAGGGGCCCCATAATAAATAAATACTTAAATATTTAAACATATTTTTACTTGCATTGTAAAGTAATCGTATTTTTTATTTTCTATACGGCCAGATAATACGACAAATCGCTAACCTTAAACACCCGGTCGTTCATAAAAGTTGAAGGCGGTATAGTACTATAGTAATAGAGCAAGTGCAGAATCACTCAACCGGAATTGATAGCTTGAAAGCATTTAGCGCGAGGCCCTTGAAAGTGCGGGGCCCGTAGCTACATGTGTAGCTACTTGTGCTACTAGGATCATCCGGCACTGGCAGGCAGGCATGGTGGCCCTCGACTCGGGGAGACAGCAGAGTTGCCGCGGCGACGTTCCGCCCCAAATGTAGGCTGACGGACGCAACCCAAAACGCACGGGTATCCTTGCGGCAGGAGCAGCTGTGACACGGGTGGCGGTGGTGGCGGTGGTTCGGGTGCGGCAAGAGTTTCTCACCTTTCTGAACGGTGACAAAATTCTTCCGAAACGTTACCGTCGGTCACGCGACAAATAAGCAGGGCTATCGGGTTTTATTTATAAATCAAACAATGGGGTCTGTAAACTCAAGACACGTGTGTATGGCTGAACTTCTTTCGCACCGTACGTAGTAGCCAGCCATGCAAATCGGAGGTGCGGGGGGGGGAAGGTCCCTCCCCCACCCACCCCGTCTCTGAATGAGCGTGCGCACCCACGTACGAAGCTACGAGTCTCCCTGCGAGTCGTTGGTGACTTTGGTGATCGGGCTGAGGCCATCAACTCCCGACACTTTACAAGCCGGGTTCATTCAAGTGCGGCTAAAAACCCAGATTTGAACACAGGATCTCGGCTGCGTGTCAGCTCAGGTATTTAACATGGCGTTAGCGGCATGATCCTCCTAAGTGCTTCCGAAACAATGTTACGCGTGTGACCTGACAACGGAGATATAAAAAAAGCAGTTTTTCCATGTACGCTGAACTTCATTCGCACCGTACGTAGCCAAGCGTGTTCTGATCGGAGGCGCGGGGGAAGGGCCCACACCCCCTCCCCGTTCTCCGACGCCACTGCGACGCGAGTGTACCGCCCCCCAGCGACATCGCTGCCTTGCAACTCCCAAAGAATTGCCAAGAACTGCGTGCTTCCTCAGCCCGTGGGCGCAAGAAACGTCGTCTGTTTTTCTTCTTCTTCAGAAGTACGGCGCAGGCCGACGCGGCGTGGGCACCGTGCAGGAGAAGTTTCGGAAGCGCGGGGGAAACGTCGGCGCCACGACGCAGCCCGACGATACACCACGACATGGCGCGCCGCACGCCTAACACTGCGTCGACAGGAGGTGGCCAGGACGTGCGATCGCTCCGTCTCCCTCGCCGTCTCCCTCTCCGTCTCTCTCTCCATCTCTCCGTCTCCCTCTCCGTCTCCCTCTCCGTCTCTCTCTCCATCTCTCTCTCCATCTCTCTGTCTCCCTCTCCGTCTCTCTCTCCATCTCTCCGTCTCCTTCTCCGTCTCTCCCTCTCTCTCTCCATCTCTCTCTCCGTCTCTCCCTCTCTCTCCATCTCTCTCTCCGTCTCCATCTCTCTCTCCGTCTCCATCTCTCTCTCCGTCTCTCCCTCTCTCTCTCCGGCGGGTGGGTGGAGGCCGGCGCACGGAGAGGGGGGGGGGAATAAGGGGGTGCCCGCCATACCAAAAAAATGTTGACAACCGCTGGATAAAAATTGCTGTGGTCCAAATTTTTGCAGCTGGCTCAACAATGACATCGTGACGGGA